AAAAAAAAAAAAACAACCAGACAAAAAGTACATGTCCATGATACAAAATTCAAACTGTACCCAAAGAGCTGTTTTCTGGGCTTTCACAGACCGTATGTTCCACCCAACCCCCAAAGCCACTATTCTTACAGTGTTCTCTGTGTTCATGTTGATGTGCATGTACATGTGTGAATATGTGTATCTCTTTAAAGTGGGGTTTGAGGGGTTTTTGGTGTTAACACCTTAACAGTTTGATTCTCTGAATTCTAGGACAGCTGTGGGAAGAGGCAGAGCATGGCTTTATCTTGCACTCATGCAAAAGAAACTGGCAGATTATCTGAAAGTGCTTATAGACAATAAACATCTCTTAAGGTATTTTTTACCCCTATCTTTGCTTGTCTTTCACTCTGTAAATAATTAGAACATAGTTCTGTAGATTGTTTTGAATTGAAACGAGTATACAACATACACAGCTTTTATTTGAATTATTATTCATCATAAATTTCCTGTGGCTTAGTTTTAAAAGAGTATTTCAGTTTGTAAGCACGGGTATCTGAAAGTCCTTTTGAATGAAGAGTCATACTTACTTTTCATTTTGAAAAGTCATTTCAAAACTCATTCTTCAAAATCCCTGTGATTAGGTAACTGACAGCCTACTCAGTTAAGCTTCAACAAAATGTTATTTATTTGACTTGTTGATAACAGGGAAAAAATGGCTTTAAAACCACATGCAGTGAACAACTTTAAAGTATAAAATCCTGCTTTTTTCAAGATATTACCTATCTTAGGATTCCATATCCAGTTTGTAAAATTTTATATCTCTTAGCATCAGTAATGACTAACTGGCTGTCTCTGAAATTTATGACTGGTTCATTTTTTTTTTAATGTTTATTTATTTTGAGATAAAGAGAGAGAGCAGGGGAGGGGCAGAGAGAGAGAGGGAGAGAGTCCCAAGAAGGCTCCGCACTGTCAGCACAGAGCCCAACATGGGGCTTGATCTCACAAACCATGAGATCATGACCTGAGCTGAAATTCAAGAGTCGGATGCTTAACCGACTGAGTCACCAGGTGCCCAAGACTGGTTCATTTTTGATATTTATAAATATATAAATATAAATTTATAAAATATGTACATATAAACGTATGTAAACAAAAATATCTTCATAAAAGGAATTTTCTCTAGAACATGAGCATTTATAAGGGAAGAATCTCTCTAGAGTTAATCTTTTTGTCTAATTGAGTTGAAAGTAGCTTTTATAGTATGGCCTGCCACTCAAAATTTGCCACATTTTAAGTCATGGCTTATTATTGATTATATCTTTAACATGATAAATGCAATTTCAAATACTTCACATACTTTGCACTGTGAGTAAAGTCACACTGAGTAGCTTCGAGGTACAGATTGTGTTCTAATGAACTAATTCTTTTTTTTAATTGACTTATAGTTGACACACGTTACATAGTTTCAGGTGTGCAACATCGTGATTCCACAAGTCTACACCATGATGCTGTACTCACCACAAGTGTAGTTACCCTCTGTCGCCGTGCAGAGTTACCACAGCACCATTGACTGTATTCCCTATGCTGGACCTTTCATCCCTATGACCTAACGAACTAATTCTTAAGATGATAAGTTCTCATGCACTCACACACACACACAGCTAGTAAACTAGCACATCACTGGTGACCAGGAGCAGTAGTAGACAGGGAATGGGGCCCCACTATGAATGGCTGAGGTGACTCGGGAGGTAAGAAAGTAAAAGCATCCAGTGTTGCTCCGTGGGACACAGGGAAGAGGGAAGGGTTTTATTCTTGGATGTGGGGAGCTGTGGAAACCTGCTTCCGGCTAACATGAGTGTAGAAATAGTTCCTCACAGTGCAGAAAAAGGAGCCAGCAGAGAAAGGAAGGGCAGAGTGATGGTCAGGAACAGAGGAGCCAAGAGGAGGTGAGAAGGACCAGGGTCCAGGGTCCAGATGGAGGAGTCAGCCTTAGACTAGAGGTGGGAGGAGCCCATTCTCAACCACAGGAAGAGAAGAGAGGCCAGAGAAGAAATAGCAGCACTTGAAGCAGGTGGGGGCAGGAGGAAATGGACACCAGGGAGTTTCTGGCTTCTGGTGAAGCCAGCAGCCCAGCTGTCAGCTGGGAGATAAAAAGGGATGCATGTCAGGGAGATGGGGTGGTGAACATCCCTTCCTAAGAAGCCCCCTGCTGTGTCAATCTCTTTCAGTGAGTTCTATGAGCCTGAGGCATTGATGATGGAAGAGGAAGGGATGGTGATTGTGGGTCTGCTGGTGGGACTCAATGTTCTCGATGCCAATCTCTGCTTAAAAGGAGAAGACTTGGATTCTCAGGTAAAATAGGAATCTTGGCTCTAAGTGGAATGCCTTCTTTGGGCCAGGGATTTTCCATAAGATCTGAGGACATGGGCTGAGCCGAAGAAAGGGGCAAATGGTAGAGGGTGTCTACTGGAAGGCTGGGGCAAAGGGGGAAGCCCCCTGGGGAAGGGGAAGTCTGGGCCAAGGCACAGAGGCACATGAAATGAAGGTAGAGGCTGGGCTCAGTTTCCAGGCCATTGGTGTCCTGCGAAAGGGTTTGTCTTTTGTGTCTGGAACCTTGGGAAGCCATCAGAGGGCTGCCTGGGTAGCGCAGTGAAGCATTTTGACTCTTGATTTCGGCTCAAGTCACGATCTCCACAGTTCGTGGGTTCGAGTCCCATGTCAGGCTCTGCACTGACAGTGTGGAGCCTACTTGGGATTCTCTGTCTCTGTCTCTCTTTCTCAAAATAAATAAATAAACTAAAAAAAAAAAAAAAAAAAAAAG